CTGCTGTGTTTGTTGCATCATATTGCTGTAATTGTTTATATGCTTTATATATTCTGAGCTAAGTTGAGCTAAGTTGATCAAAGACTGATTGTGTGCATATATGAGGCGTCTCAGGAGCCTGAGGTGTTTGTGGGCGTTTCCTCCTGGACTGTGGCTCTGACACTCATCTTCTGCCTAATCTTATGGACATATCTGTTTTGAGCTTGTTTTGTCTGCACTGGCCTGCATGTTGTTAAATGTTGGTTTCCTTTTTTCAGATCTTTCTACACTGTATATATTATTCTGCTGCGTGCCTCTGCTTCTGATATCCACGGTTCACTTGTGTCATACACAGAATGTCCTCCTGTTGCCTGATATGCACTCATCCATGTGTTTTACTTAATAATATTCTCTTTATTATATTTATGTGAACTCAGTCGAAATTGTATTAAACCCCTTTGAAGTTATAAAGAGCTTATAGAAGAAAGTCTGACACATTTTAACCCACAGCCCTGCAGATCACTGAGGCTGCTTAGCTAATGCATAGCAATCAATAACACTGCACAATGTTTAAGCTCACTATGATAATGCATGTAAGTCAATATGATTGTTTGAGAGAAACTGCACCTCAGAGAGCAGCAGTAGGGGGGCATCAACAAAAAGCTCGAGTCCAGAGAGTTTCCATTAAAACAAAAGAAAAGAGCAGGATTCTTCAAACCTCATGAATAAAGGTGTGAAGAAGAAAAATGTTCTGCTTTCTGTTTGAGATCATCAGTTCATCTGTTCTAAGGTAGTTAAGTGAAGATTAAATCCTCAAGAATCTATGTTTTACTTAAAAAATATATTTCACTATGTTATGTACTCCAATTGTTAAGAGGAAATCTGGCACCGGAGCGGTTCACAGCCGAGTGTGAAGCAGCAGGAATGAGGATCAGCACCTCCAAATCTGAGGCCATGGTCCTCAGTCGGAAAAGGGTGGAGAGCCCACTCCGGGTCAGGGACGAGTTCCTGCCCCAAGTGGAGGAGTTCAAGTATCTCGTGTTTTTGTTCATGAGTGATGGGAGAAGGGGGTCCGTGTGTCGATCTCCTGCTCCCTTATATACCGGTCTGTTGTGGTGCATTGAGAGCTGAGTGTAAAAGCAAAGCTCTCAATTTACCGGTCGA